TAGTGTAATGATTTTACAACATTGTAAATGTACCAAACGCCACTGAATTGTACACTTAAAAAGGGTTAAAATGGTAAATTTTATATTGTGTGTATTTTACCAAAATAATAAAATGCAAATTGGAAACAACGAAATAAAATTGCCTCTATTTACAGACAGCATGACTGTATACATAGAAAATCCTAAAGAATCTGCAAAAATGATACTAGAACTAATAAAGTGAGTTTAGCAAAGTCATAGAATACAAAGTCGATATACAAAAAAATCAGCAGTATTTCTGTATACTAGCAATAAGCAATGAGAAATTTAAAAAATTTTAAACAGTATCTTATACAACAGTATATTGTATAGGAATTCATCTAACAAAATATGTGCAAGATAGGTATGCTGAAAACCACAAATATTCCAGACATAAGTAAAGAGGACCTAACTAAATTAATAAATGTGTAACGTTCATGGATCGCAAGATGCAATACCATTAAGGCATCAATTGCCTCAAACTGATCTGTAGATTCAACACGATCCCAAACAAAATCCCAGCAGGTTGTTTGGAGAAATTGACAATCAGGTTCCAAAATTTATATCAAAAATCAAAGACACAAGAATAGCTAAAACAATTTTGTAAAGAGAAAAGAAAGTTGGAGATTTCCACTACCTGATTTCAAGATTTAGTGTAAAGCTACAGTTTCAAAACGGAATGATATTGGTGAAAAGACAGACAGATAGATGTACTGAACAGAATAGAGAGCCCAGACGTAGGTCCGCACATATATGGTCAATTGATTTTCAACAAAGGTGCCAAAATACTCCAATGGAGGAAAAAAACAGTCTTTTCAACCTATAGTGCTGGAACAATTAGACAACCCATATGCTAAATAAATAAATAACCTTAACTATAACATTACTCTCTAACATTAAAAAAAAACAACTACAAAATAGATTGAAGACCTAAATGTAAAACCCAAGACTATAAAACTTTGAGGAGAAAATCTTTGTGACCTTGGGTTAGTCAAAGATCTCTCAGATAGGACAACAGAAGTATGAAACGTAAAAGAATGTTGATAAAATTTCATTGTTAATTTAAAAATTCTGCTCTCCAAAAGACACTGTTAAGAAAACTAAAAGGTAAGCTAGGTACTGAGTGAAAACATTTGCAAAACAGACATCTGATCAAGGAGTATCCAGAATACATTAAATTTTACAATTCAATGATAAGAAAACAAACAACCCCTTTTTTTTTTTTTTTTGGTGAGGAAGCTTGGCCCTCAGCTAACATCTGTTGCCAATCTTCCTCTTTTTGCTTGAGGAAGATGCTCCTTGAGCTAAAATCCATGCCAATCTTCCTCTATTTTGTATGCGGCACGCCACCACAGCATGGCTTGATGAGCGATGTGCAGGTCTGCACCCGGGATCCGAACCTGCGAACTCCAGGCCGCCAAAGCAAAGTGCAAACTTAACCACTATGCCACCAGGCCGGCCCCCAAATAACCCATTTTGCAAATGGGTAAAAGATTTGAACTGACACTTTGCCAAAGAAGCTATACAGATGGCAATGCACATGAGAAGATGCCCAATATCATTAGTCATTAGGGAAATGCAAATTAAACCCACAATGAGACACCACTACAAACCTATTACCATGGCTAATTAAAAACACTGATGATAGCAAGTGCTAGTGAGGATGCAGAGCAGCCGAAACTCTCTCCTACATTGCTCGTGGAAATGCAAAATGCTAAAGGTGCAACCACTTAGGAAAAGAGGGGCAGTTTCCTATAAAGTTATTATACAATCCAAACATCCCAGTCTTAGGTATTACCCAAGAGAAAAAAAAACATATGTCCACTACCCACAGTTTTCTCAAATCCAGTCCAGGTTTTGTATCAGCCCCTTGGCTTGTCTAAGTCTTTACCCCACAGGAACAACGAAATCCATTCCAGGTTTTGGCTGCAGCTTGAGCAGCCTTTACAGCTCCGTCTCCTATAGCCCCATCTGTCCCTCTAAGATAGCGGTTCCTCCGGTTCCTCCGCCTCCCATCATTAAGCACATGCATTCTTGAGTCTTCACTCTGTTGCCCCTTTTCTCTGATGACCTACAGCCCCTCTATCTGGAGTTTCCTTTTTTTGTATAAAATTCACCCCTCTTTCAAGTGACCTGCTGGTTTGGGGTTTTAGTGGCTCACATATTCTACTGATGGCCATTCCCCCTTCCCCACATCTGAGACCTGGAGCAGACATCTTGTGGGGCCCTGCTGGATCCCAGGCTAGTGGATGCCAGAGCTGTGCCGCACCTTCAGCAGCCCCTCCAGAGGACGCCAGACTAGCAGATTGTGGCTACACTGCCCACCCTTGGTTAATGGACACCCAGTCACTTACTGGCCTTGCTGGTGGCCTGCCATCACTCGTATGAGGGAATATCTTCCACATTCATAACAGCCCAGTTACACTCTGTATGGCTTCTGAAAACAAAGCACCAGCACAGATGGAGAATTTTCCTTTGTGGTCACCAAATATCATGCAAGGGGATCAGGCTATGCACCACTAGGGCTATGCAATAGAGAAGTGAAATAGGCTCATTGAGGAAAAACACACAAATAGGGAAGATGTAAAATATGAACTTATGGCAGTATTTTAGGTTAATTCCTGAAGAATCTAGCCTCCTCTTCAATTAAGGGACTTGTGTTTTCCAAATTGGTTTATTAGGTGGAAATGAAGCAAGAGGTTTTAATTCTCCATTTTGATGACTCATGTCAGATTTCTACCCACCAGACCTGGAGTTTTCCTGTTATATACTGTTGAAATTAATAAAAGAAACCTTAACTAAATTGGAGTCAGGAAGGCCTGTAGGGGGAGCTCTGACCCCCATCATAATCGTCAATTACACCAAACAGGAAGAACAGGCTCTTGCATCTCCGACAGGAAGTAAAACCACTTTACTTCTGAAGGAAGATTTCTCTCTCCACCCAGCAACAGCCCGGCCAATGAGAAACACTGCAGCTCAGCCAATGAGAAATGCCGCAGCTCAGCTAATGAGAAACGCCACAGCTCAGCCAATGAGAAACGTCACAGCTCAGCCAATAAGAAACACCACAGTTCAACCAATGAGAAACGTCACAGCTCAGCCAATGAGAAATGCCTCAGCTCAGCCAATGAGAAGCAGTTGCCCCCCCTGACCTATTACTTCCCCCCAGTGGACCTTCCTTTAGAACAGCCCCTCCCCACTCCCTCTTTTTTTCTATAAAGGCAGCTCCTCTCTTTTCTTTTCTGGATTTGCCTGTAGTTTGCCATTGCATGCACATCTGGAGTTGCAATTCTTTTGGCCATTCCTGAATAAACTCATTTTGAGATAAAATAACAGGCAAATTTGATTTTTAAGTTGACAACAGATATCTCAATAGAGATAAATTAATACAAGGGTCTCAGATAAATTAAATGGGTTTCAGAAAACTGGGAAAGGAGTAGAAAGAAACACAGAGTCAGCACAGAAATAATAACTGCACAAAGCAGGTATCACCCCCTGGACTGGGGAGACAAAGGGAAAAGAATAGTTATCAGAACCTAAAATCTCGGAAACGTGCCCCTATAGAGCTGAAACCCAGACTAGAAAAAGGGGCTGCCTGGATGGAGCTGGTGTGACTGAGGGCAGACAACAAAACTAGTTCCAGGAGTGCTTGGGGCAAAGCTAAAAGCTGCAACTAACAGCTGCTGTCAAAGGGAGCACTGTTCTGGGGCGACGCTCAGGAACTGGAAGCAGAGAGGAAGGAGCAAGTCCCTCCTTCCTCCTCCAGCGCCGGTCTCCTTCTAGCGCCCCCTTTAGACACAGCGTAATATGAACCCAGCTGGCAAGGCAGAAACGAGGCTTGCCGAGTCCCAGCCCCAGTATCACAGAGCGGAGTATAGAAGGGCAGATTCGGAGCTGAGAGACAATAGCTTAATAAACCAGCGTGCCGACTGAGTGAGTTCCTAGGGCTTTGTAGCATCTGACATTTCTAAATACAAGCTGGTGCTTTACCAAGGCTCTGGATCCAGATTGCCCAGATTTCTCTTCAAACTCAGCCACTTCCTAGCTGTGTGACCTCGTGTGAGTCACTTTTCTGTGCCTCGGTTTTCTCATCTGCAAAATGGAGACATTCGTACCTACCTTATATAGTTCTCATCACAATTCATTGATTTAGTTCTTGTTCTTTAGCACTTGCCAGAACACAGGGCCAGACACATAGAAAGCACTCTGTGTTCACTGTTTTATTATTATTATTGCCACCATTGTCATTACCATTATTATTTCCACTTGGGTTAGCAAGAACTAATTCAGCGTCTTCCAGAGAAATCTGGCTCCCACATAACACTTGGCAACATTGCAAAGCTACTCTGCACCCAAAGTGGCAGATAGTTGGAATTCCTCCAATTTGGAGAAAGGATGTTTTGGTTTTGATTTTTGGATGTGTTGGTTGTTGGTGGCTTTCTTGCTATTTAACTAATAACTGCCGTCAGTTCAGCTTTGTCATTACCAGTTTAGTTTGTTATGGGTTATTTAGTTTAAGTGCATGTATAATGATGTATATTTGCCTCAATTCTGTGTGTGCGTGGCCTGCAATTTTCCACTAATTAGACTTTTTAAAGACACATATGCAGTTATCTACTCAAATTTGCATCATCTGTTCCCGGATTGCCAAAGCAGATGTAGAGAGCGCCCACCCACCCCCACTTCAGGAAATAATTTGCTTTTTATCACTGAGTTTCTTTTCCACTGGCAAGTAGGAACGAGGGGGGTTGCAGATGGTTGGGGTTCTTGTCCTACTGAAGCGAGAGCCATCAGAACAGTGCAGACAAACGTGCTGCGCCTGAGTCACACAGGAATAGTAGAGCTGAGAAGAGGGAACAGACCCCAGGATACATGAAATATAGCAGCAAACCAACCAAGCAAACCCACCCCCAGCTTGAGCCCCCAGCCCCAAAGGATCTAGACCCCCACGAGTTCCCAAGAATCAAGCATCCAGACCCTACTCCTCTCAAATGGCTTTATTTCCCCAGTGTGGGGAGCTGTGAATGGGGTCTGGGGCCCTGTATCCCCAGGGCCCTGCAGCCTTCTCCCGCCCACCAGGCTGTGGCAGGGCTTTCAGAGGGGCAACGCCAGGGCTCCAGAGGCTGGTCTTCCCAAAGGGGGCTGGTTCCTGGAGGAGCGGGCCTGCTGTGGCTGACATGGATGACACTCCCGGCAGTGGTCCCGACAGCAGCCCAGGTAGTGGTCCAGGGGCATGGGGCCTACCTCAAGGGAAAGGCTGCCAGCTGCGGGAGTCGAGGACCAGCTGGGCCTTACTCCGGGAGCAAAAGCTCCCTATGAGGGCTACTCCTTGAAGTCCGCCAGCAGGGCTCAGTCTAGGGGGAAGAGAGGAGAGAGAACAGGTGGGGAGCACGGAGAGGAGGACAGAAAAAATGGGAGACTGGCGAAAAGAAGGAAAAAGATGCACTAAAAACCTGAAGGAGACCGAGAGAGTGAACCAGGGACAAAGGGTAGTAAAAGAGAAAAACACTCAGCGATACGGGAACAGAGACCCGCAAAGCAGAGACACAGACGTAGGTAGGGACAGAGGCGGGAGAGGCACGCAGTAGACCCTCCACACTGACCTTTGGGCGCAAGCGGGGACGGGGGTGGTGGCCCCCCTGGGGGAAGCAACGCAGAGCGGCTCATGGCTTCGGCCATCCAGCCCAGGACACGGCTGCAGTACTGGACCTGGGAAGCAGGAGAGACATTACGGCACCAACAGGATCCCCACTGCCCCCCACCGCGGCCACACTCCCCTAGCCTGGCCTGGGGTTCTCACCTCCTGTTCCAAGCCCTTCAGACGCTGCTCGTACTCGCGGATCTGTCTCAGCTTCTTCAACGCCGTGTCCACCCTGGGGACACAGGGCTTCAGGCCGGCGCCGGCATCCCTCCAGCCCCGGCATCCCTCCAGCCCCGCCCCCTCGGAAGCCCCGCCCCTAGAGCTCCGCCTTCCTCCAGAGCATCCCAGGAGCCCGCCCCCTCAGGCTCCGCCTCTGGCCCGGCTCTTTGTAAGCCCCAGCCCCATTCTCCGCCCGTCAGGGGTCCGCCCCCGAGGCCGGAAGCCACGCCCCCCGCCAGGCCCCCCCTCACTTCTGCGACGTGCGCTTCAGGCGCTCGGAGTCGCTCTCCCGCATGTTCCGCGCGCGCGCCAGCAGGAAATTCTCCTTCTGCACCGACTCCCACGTCAGCAGCTTCCGCTCAGCTTCCTTCGAGAGGCGGACCCCTGGAAGGCGGGGTCAGGACGGAGTCAAGGGGTCTGCCCGCCCTCGGTCGGCCGCCTCCCAGGCCAAGCCTCCCCACCCCAAACTCTCCGAGCGCTCTCCCAGACCACGCCTCCGTGTGGTTCCAAGCCACGCCCCTAGTACTCCACGCCCCGCCCCTGACAGCCTTAGCCCTGCCCACTAGGCATCCCGGGCATCCTCCCCACCCTATTTATGCTCTTCCTTCTCTCTAGGTCCCGCCCCCTCTGTTTCTCTCTTTTGGGCCAAGCCCGGTTCTCACGAAAGCGCTCGAAGACCGGGGATGACGGCAAGCTGGCCCGGCTCCTGCCCAATCGCCGGAGGAGGAGGTGCACGTGCGAGATGATGATAAGGGGCGGGGCCAGCGCAGGACGAGAGTGAAATTCCCGGATGAGGCTGTAGCGCTGCGCCTTCCAGTAGAGGTCACTGTTGCCCTGTACTTTGCCAAAGGTGTGGCTGTGGAGAGCAGAGGTGAAGGGTCACCTGAAGTGAAGGCGCGGTCAGATGCAGGAGATCATGGTTAGATGTCAGGCAATGTCTGCCTGAGGTGCAAGGCAGTAAGCAGATGTTAGGATCAATAAAGTCAGAGGTTATTACAGAAGTTGGGTTAAGAGGGCCAAGGGTCAGATGTCAGTGGTCAAGTTGGGGATGGCGTCATGAATTAGGATACAGGTTTGAGTCAGGTTCAAAAGTCAGCCTGGACACAAATAACTAAAATCATAAATGAAAATGGGGACATTACTACCAACCTTACAGAAATATAAAGGATTATAATAGAATATCAACAAATGTATGCCAAAAAATTAAATAACCTAGATGAAATGGACAAATTCCAAGAAACACACAAATTACCTAAACTGACTCAAGAAGAAATAGAAAATCTCAAAAGAGACCTATAACAAGTAAAAAGATGGAGTAACTAATCAAAAAGGTCCCAACGAAAAAAAAAGCTTCAATGGTGAATTCTACCAAATATTAAAAAAAAAAAAAAATTAACATCAATCCTTCTCAAATTCTTCCAAAAATTAGAGAGGAGAGAACACTTCCTGGCTCATTCCATGAGGCCAGCATTACCATGATATCAAAGCTAGACACAGATATCACAAGAAAAGAAAATTACAGACCAATATACTTTATGAATATACTTGCAAAAATCCTCAACAAAATACTAACAAACCTAATTCAGCAGCATATTAAAAGGACTATACACCATGACCAAGTGGGATTTATCCCAGGAATGCAACGATGGTTCAACATAGAAAAATTAATCAATATGATATACCACCATAATAGAACAAAGGAAAAAATCACATGATCGTCTGAGTTGACACAGACACACAGAAAAGATATTTTACCAAATCCAATACACTTTCATGATTTAAAAAAAAGAACTCAGAAAAGTAGGAATAGAAGGAAATTTCCTCAGCATGGTAAAGGGTACTTATGAAAAACCCACAGGTAAGTAACATCTGTGGAAATTAATAAGAGAAACCTTATCTAAATTGGAGTCAGGAAGGCCTATAGGAGGAGCTCTCATGCCCTATCACACATCATCAGTTACACCAAACAGAAAGAAACAGAGGGTTGCATCTCTGACAGGAAGCAAAACTTCTACCAAAGGAAGATTTCTTTCTCCACCCGGCAACAGTCCAGCCAATGAGAAATGCAGCAGCTCAGCCAATGAGAAGCCGTTGCTGCCCTGAACTGTTACTTCCCTCCAATGGAGTTTCCTTTAGAACAGCCCCTCCTTACTCTCTCTTTTTCTCTATAAAGGCAGCTCCCTTTGCTTGTTTGTTGGATTTGCTTGTAGTTTGCCACAGCATGCACATCCTGAATTGCCTTTTGGCTATTCCCAAGTAAACTTGTTTTGAGGTTTTTCAAGTCAACACATCATTCTCAATGAAGAAAGATTGAAAGCTTTCCCCTAAGATCAGAAACAAGAAGGGCTGGCCCAGTGGTGTAGCGGTTAAGTTTGCACATCCTGCTTCGGTGGCCCAGGGATCACTGGTTCGGATCCTGAGCACAGACCTATTCATGGCTCATCAAGCCATGCTGAGGCGGCATCCCATACAGAAGAGCTACACTCTACAACTATGATACACAACTATATACTAGGGCTTTGGGGAGAAAAAAGAAAGAAGAGGAAGATTGGCAACAGATGTAAGCGCAGGGCCAAACTTCCTCAAAAAAAAAGAAAAAGAAACAAGATAACGATACCCACTTTCACCACTGCTATTCATCATTGTACTGGAAGTTCTAGCCAGAGCAATTAAACAGGAAATAAAAGGCATCCAAATTAGAAAGGAAGAAGTAAAACTATCTCTATTCACAGATGACATGACCCTATATATAGAAAATCCCAGAGAATCACAAGAAAGCTACCAGAGCTAATAAATGAATTCAGCAAAGTTGCAGGGTACAAGATCAACAAACAAAAATCAATTATGTTTATATACACCTTCAACGAATAATCCAGAAAGGAAATTAATAAAGCAATTCTATTTATAATAGAATCTAAAAGCACCTAGGAATAAATTTAACCAAGAAGGTGAAAGACTTATACACTAAAAATTACAATCCAATGCTGAAAGAAATTTAAAAGAATACCTAAATAAATGGGAAGACATCCTGTGTTTATGAGTACGAAGACTTAATATTGTTAAGATATCAATACTACCCCAAGCAATCTACAGATTCAATGCAATTCCTATCAAAATTTCAACAGCCTTTTTTGTAGTTGGGAAAGCTGATCCTCAAATTCTTATGGAATTGCAGGAGGCCCTGAATAGCCAAAACAATCTTGAAAAAGAACAAAGTTGGAGCATTCACACTTTCCAATTTCAAAATTTCTTACAAAATCAAAACAGTGTGGTACTGGCATAAGGACAGACATATCAACCAATGGAATAGAATTGAGAGTCCAGAAATACACCCTTACATCTATGAGTGTTATGACTTGAATTATGTCCCCCCAAAAATGATATGTTCAAATCCTAACCCCTATGACCTCAGAATATGACCTTATTTGGAAACAGGGTCTTGACAAAGGTAATCAAGTTAAAATGAGGTCAATAGGGTTGGTCCCTAATTCAATATGACTGGTGTCCTTATAAAAAGGGGAAATTTGGGTAAAGACATGCACACAGGGAGAACACCATGTGAAGACAAAGGCAGAGATTGCAATGATGCATCTGCAAGCCAAAGATTGCCAGTAACCCACTAGAAGCTAGGAGAGAGGCCTGGAACAGATTCTCCCTCACAGCCCTCAGAAGGAACTAACCTTACCTTGATTTTGGACTTCTAGCTTCAGAACCACGAGACAATTAATTTCAGTAATTTAAAGCTACCCACTTTTTGGTGGTTAGTTAGGGAAGCCCTAGCAAACTAATACAACGGCCAATAGATTTTTAACAAGGGTGCCAAGTCCAATCAGTGGAGGTAAAACAGTCTCTTCAACAAATGGGCCTGGAACAACTGGAGTTCCACGTGCAAAAAGAATGAAGTTGGATCCCTACCTCATGCCATATACAAAAATAAAGTCAAAATGGACCAACAACCTGAATATAAGAGCTAAAACCATAAAATATAGGGTAAATCTTCATGACCTTGGTGATGGGTCTTTAGATACGACACCAAAAGTACAAGCAACAAAAGAAAAAATAGATAAATTGGACTTTATCAAAATTTAAAACTTTTGTGCATCAAAGAATATTATTAAGAAAAGAAAAAGACAACCAATAGAATGGGAGAAAATATTTGCAAATTATATATCTGATAGAAGTTTAATATCCAGAATACATAAAGAGCTGCCACAACTCAAAAACAAAAAGGCAAACAACCTAATTAAAAAATGGGCAAAGGACTTAAATAGACATTTCTCCAAAGAAGATTTACAAATGGGCAATAAGTACATGAAAAGATGCTCAACATCATTAGTCATTAGGGAAATACAAATCAAAACCACAATGAAATGCCAGTTCATACCCACTAGGATGGCTATAATTTTTTAAAAAGGAAAATAACAACTGTTGGTAAGGATGTGGAGAAATTGGAATCCTCATATATTGCTAGTGGGAATGTAAAATGGTGCAGCTGTTGTAGCAAACAGTTTGGTGGTTCCTCAAAAAGCTAAACATAGAACTACCATATGACCCAGCATTCTATTTTAGAAATATACCCAAAAGAAATAAAAACAGAGACTCAGACACATGAACACCAATATTCATTGCAGCATTGTTTACAATAGCCAAAAGATGGAAACAACCCAAGTTTCTATCAACATATGAATGGATAAACAAAATGTCTTAGATCAATACAATGAAATATTATTCAGCAATAAAAAGAAATGGAGTGCTGATAGATGCTAAAACATGGATGAATACTGAAAACACTATGCTAAGTCAAATAAACCAGACACAAAAGGACAAATGTTGCATGATTCTTCTTCTATGAAACATCTAGAATAGGCAAATTCATAGAGACAGAAAGTAGATTACAGGTAACCAGGGACTAGGGGAAGGAAAAATGGGGAGTTATTGACTGCTTAATGGGTACACACTTTCTGTCTGGAGTGATGAAAATGTTTTGGAAATAGTGGTGACGGTTGCATAACAGTATGAATGTAATTAATGCCACTGAACTGTACACTTAAAAATGGCAAGAAGGGCAAATTTTATGTTATATATATTTTGCCACAATAAAAATTTTTTTTAAATATTCAGACTGGGCTCAGGGAGAGGACAAGAGTCCAAAGTTCAGGTCAAGAGCAGAGTCTGGCTGGGTTTGGGGACAAGCCATAGTTAGACTTGAGGCAGAGTTCAGGGACTAAAGATAGAATTCATTACGCTGGGATCAAGAGTCATGCTGGGGTCAAAGGTCAAACTGGGATCAAAAGTCAC